GAAAATGGAATGTAAAAAATATAATTTTAAAATGTGATATTGATTTTCTGCTTTATCCATTAGGGCACCAGTGTCTTGTCACCTGGACTTCACATAGGAATAATTATTATACTGGCAGTAATGATCTATAAAAAGTCAGCAACTAATGTGTTTGAAAAGCATCCTTGTCTTTATACCCTAATGTTTGGATGTGTCTTTGCTAAAGTGTCACAAAAATTGGTGGTAAGAAATTATTTAATGATTCACAGTATAAATAACATACATGGTCCTCAAACACAGAGCTGGAAACTATTTCATGCAGTGGGTAGTTTTTTTTGTGGTGTTACCATCACAATATAGAGTTACCTATTTGTTCTCCAGGTAAAATTTGTGATGAGTTAATGTTATATTTAGGGAGATTCTTTACTATGTAGTAAGTTCTTTTAATTATTTAACTATAATTAACAAATATAACTTTCTGATATTAATAAATTTAAATATTGGAAACTTTAATAAGCTACCCTATCATTCAGTCATGAATTTTGGAAGTTTTAGATTCAGTATTTTCATATAAAATATGAGATTGAATGCTCTCTTTATCCTTATTTGTCTTAATAGTGAGTTATAGTCAATTCTGTTCTGAAAATAAAAGCTAAAATGTTGAAAATTTAATAGTGAAATTATTTTGTTTATTTTTTTTTATAGATAGCCCACATGACTAAAAGTGAACTGTATCTTCAAGACACTGTCTTTTTTGGCCCAGGTCTTTTATTTTTAGACCAGTACTTTAATAATTTTGTAGACGAATATGTTGTTCTATGGATAGCAATGGTAAGTTCTTTTCTGCTAAGATTTTATTTTTAACAGTGTCAGATAACACTATGCTTAAGAGTCATTTCAGTGAAATATCAGGTAATCTCACTATCAGTCTATACAGTAAATGTTTCTGTAAAATTACTTATATTAAGCTGTGAATAGTTTTTTTATTGAGTATAGAAATGGTCTGCATAGCTGGAGATCTTGCTTCCACCAACCTAAGTCCTTAAAAATACATCTGTGAGTTTTCCAAGTAAATTATAGGGAGATTTTCTTCTCATTCCCTCTCCAGCAGCAGAGCTGAGAGGCTTCTTTTTCTAAAAGGAAGCATTTACCCCCAGTCTCTGGGAAAATTTTTAAATAGTGTACTTTCTTAAGTTTTTTTGTACAACAAAATTTTGTATATACCTCCCCTCAACTGTTATCTTTTCCAGGCATTTTTTTCCTTTTGGTCCTATAGAACTTTGAGGGATCCACACAAGGGACATCTACCTCACTTCCGTAGACCTTTGCTTTCTTACAACTAATCTCAAAGGAGTAAGAAATATATATGATGGAATGATTTTCTTATAACTAGTAGTCCCTTCTAGTAGAAATTTGTGGCTTTGTTGCACAGCAGAAAATTGAAAGAATATGGAGTCAAGACTTTTCTGTTACTCTCCAGCTTTTGTATTTTAGTCTCGGCTTTTACTGCTGTGCTCAGACTCTATAACTATGAAATACCCTGTATGTTGCAGAGGACTATATGAGGTCCAAATGAGAAATACTGTATTTTGCCATGTATAATGCATTATTATACTCCGTGGCATGTAATCATCATACTCATGTATAATGAGCATCCTTATTTTTCCCTCAAAAATTTGGGCAAAAAAGTGTGCATTATATACAGCAAAATACAGTATATAATAGTACTCTAAAGTGTAAAATTTTCAATGAAGAATTTTCAGTTAAAGTTTGAGATGCAGGCAGTGGTAGAAGGCAGGAGGGATAGCTGTTGCTTCAGAAAAGATAGATCATAATCCATTTGCATTTTCTTTTTCCTTTTAAAGGTCATTTCTTCATTTGATATGATGATGTACTTTAGTGCTTTGTGCCTGCAAATTTCAAGACACCTTCATCTAAATATCTTCAAGACTTCATGTCATCAAGCACCTGAACAGGTTCACAAGCATATTGACTAATAGCCCAAGGAAAAGAGGAGAAGCAGTTAGGGGAACCTAGGAGTGAAGGAAATCCCCTTTTGCAGGTGGCTAGTATACTATCAAATAAGGTTATATTTGAATATAAAACATTAAGTCCTATAGATTCCATTATGTCTATCTCAGCTGTGAAGTCCTCATTGTGTATCAACATTTTTAACTACAGATATTATCAGAGTAATACAATCTCTAAGTTAGAAACAAAACCAAAAAAAGAAATTTCAATTTTCTGGGGATAAGAAAATACACCACAGTAGTTCTAAATAGCAATCTTTTTGTCTTAGAAATCCTTACAGACACTCAGGATTTTCATTGCCAAACTACATAAAAATTCAAGACTTAGAGAATTTTAGCCATGTTAAACATGATGCTTTTATTGCAAAAAGGCAATGAGTTCATAATACTGTTTAAGTGCATGGATTGTAATACTCTAAAGTTGAATGATGACATATAATTTTTATTAGCCATTTTCAAAAGAGGAAATGTTAACTACTATTGTACTAAAGGAAATACTTGCTTAATATACCAACTGGAATTAAAAAGGGCTAAATAATTTTCTATAATTTGTGTAAAAGCAATTTGTCTACTAGTTCAGAAAAACTAATGAATCTTTATAGTGAGAGTAACTTGTTTCTTGATATTCTGAATTAAAATTTCATTGTCACAAAAAGGTGGACATTAAACATCCCCTTTTATGAAAAATAAAGCAGCACTTAAAGCACAATTGGCATAGGATAATTAGTAATTTATAAAAACATGGCAAATGTATCTTCCCTTTAGAATATCAGCCAAAGTTACAACTATACACTTGAGGCAAAAAGGGGATAAAATGAGTATCAGTTATTTAACCACTAAGTACGTTATGTACTGATTCTTACCTTTCCACTCTTAAAAGTATTTGTAGTGTTCATTATGAATAGAGCTATCACAAAGCTCTTTGATGATACAAATCTTCAGACTCCTCTTTTACCCTATTTTTAATTTTATCTAGCAGTTCTGTAGACCATGGCCATATGATGAAATACATTTTTTAAAAGGAGTAATGAATATGTAACTATATCTTAAGCAAGAAAAAGACATAATGAAAAAAGTAAAAGTTTTTTTTTAAAGATTTTATTTATTTATTTTTAGAGAGGGAAGGGAGGGAGAAAGAGAAACATCAATGTGCGGTTGCTGGGGGTCATGGCCTGCAACCCAGGCATGTACCCTGACTGGGAATCAAACTTGCAACACTAAAAAAGTGAAAGTTGATATTCCTTAAAAGGAAAAAATATTTATGTGAATTAAGGACATAAAACACTCCAGGGTACTTATTTTGACTATTTTACAATTGGTAAACTCAAATAAGGACCCTCTTAGAAATACATTCCAACATATACTTTGGCTTAAAAGGAAACTTTACAAAATGCAAAAATTTAGGAAGTAAACTGTCCCCCTAATGTCAGGTATTTGTTAAGGGTGAAGGACTAATTTCTTCCTGTGTGAGTTATCAGTTAGAAAAGGAAATAAGTATGGACTTGTTTTAAAAACTTTGAAAACCTCAAAACTAAGATAAGAATGGGTTATGGGGAAACAACTAGATTTGAAAACATGGAAAAACAGAAGTTTCACTCCTCTCCTTGTAATGGGCATTTTTTTGGGGGGGGAGGGCACATTTTTTGTTTTGAATGTTTCAAAGAAAGCAATTTGAGAAAAAAATTGTAAGTTTAACTGACTTATTTAAAACACTGAAATAATTCTTTATTAAGTGAAGTGTTTCATGTTATTTTATGTTTTTAAAATAAACATTTAAAAAGACAAGGTATAAGATTTAACTATTCAAGTCTGGTAGTGAATGTAAAATCAGAAAGAACCTAAAATCAAATAAGATAGTTCTATTATTTACTCTAAATTGAAACCGAAAAAAAACATTCTAGGTAATTTATCTTTGAAGACAAATGTGAAGTAAATTCCTAAGTAATTGAGCATGTTAATGATACGCTTTTAAATCATTACGACAAGCATGTGCCACTTAATTTCAGAACAGCCCAATTAAATGGCCTTTTGATGTCTTTGGAAATGACATTTAAAAAATCTGTTTTATTTAAAAGAATTGTATATTGATTTTATTTTTTAATTGTTCAAGTACAGTTATCTCCACTTTCCCCCAATGAGTGCCCTCCCAACCCATCCCCATGTCCCACCCTCTATCCTACCCCCACCTTGGCTTTGTCCATGTGTCTGCTATACATATTCCTGGACAACTCTTCCCCTTTTTACTGTTAGCCCCCTCTAGTTAGGGAGAGAGACAGAGAGAGACGTTGATTTGTTGTTCCACTTATTTATGTATTTATTGGTTGCTTCTTGTTTGTGCCCTGAGCAGAGATCAGTCTTGGTGCATCTGGACGGTGCTCTAGCCAACCAAGCTACCCAGCCAGGGTGCAAATCCATATTTTAGAATGCTACTTATATCTTTTTCAGTTATCTTAATGATGTTTAGTAGTTTTATTCCACAACACAAACTTAAATTGTTTTTTAATAAATTTCCTACGTCAGATTTTCTTTTGAAATTCAATCATTAGAATTGGCTATATAACTTAATTACCATATACAAAAAGATGTATGTATAAAAATAAGTTTTATACTTTTTCTTAAGGGACAACCATGTAATTTTTATTTGTGCTTTCTACCTTTTGGGACTGATACACATACACTGAAGCCAGAATTTGAAATTAAATCATCTTTATTGCTAAGTTAACTGACAAGTGTTACAGAGAAAAATTTACTATTACTATTAAAAGGCAGAAAGCTTGGCACATACAGTTTAGGGATTGCTGCTACTCACAAAACTGTTTAGATTTTATTTGGAGGTTAAGAGAAAGAGGAGGTTTGCACTTAAGCTAATGATTAACATGATATAATATTTTAAACTAGAATTTTTAAACCACTCTAAGACTTATATGCCTCTTTGCTAATGTTATAATTGTATCATATTACTTAGGTTCAAATTCTTCCTTCAAAGAGTCATCAGAATAACATGGATTGAAGAGACTTTCGAACATTTGCCATCTCCTGCTGCTGCTGTTCATGAAAGGAGATATTAAACATTTGTTTAATTTTTAGATAAGTGTTATACATATTTCAACAAATAAAATGTTTCAGTGCTTACATTAATCCTTACTTTTTCAGTGTTTACTATCATAACTTACAGTGTCCATCATAATTTGTTTTTGCAACAAAGCCATTTCTTTTTTAAGTTCATTTTGTGCACCAGTAAGGAGAGTATCCTGATTCTTCTCCAAGTCGTCCATACTCTAAAACACAAAAGACTTGTTCAGTTAAAACCATCAGTTTTCATCTCAGGTTCTAAAACTTGTACAATTAATTTTCAAAAGTAGGAATACTTTAAAGTTCAAACAGTATACCTTATTTATTCCAAATAAAAATATTCTAAGTAATACATCAAAATACCCACTAGAGAATTTAAAAATGTTAGACATGACTATTTCTACAGGAGGTTAGTGAACTGTTAAGATTTCAGTATCTAACATATTAAAAAAAAAAAAAGACTGGAAGTCCCAAATTAATAAGTACCATAATTTTGGAAATTTCTAAAAACCCTTCTAAATATCAAGTTATAACCCACTTATTATGACCAAATAGTCAAATGTGATGAGAATTCATCAGAGGTATTAAATGACCTGTAGTAAACCTTTCAATTTATGAAAAAAATTGTTATAATAATTTGCTATCCATCTAATAAATAATAATCCTAATGCCTACTGTGTAAAAAGTACTATGTTAAGTCCTGTGGAGAAATTAAAAAATAATATGTGATCCTTCCCTTATTCCAGTGACAACAAACATTAATGAAAATGACACAAAATTTTATAATAGACATTGAAACACAACTTGCTGTGGCTATGTAATAGAAAATGAGGATTAATTGCAAATTACTTGGAAAAGGAATAAGATCAATAAATAAAGCAAAAAGTTTTCTAGGGCAAAAGCATAAATAAAATCATGGAAGTGTACAGTAAGAGAAAGCAATTATGTGGAGGTGTGGGTATAATGATCAAATATAGTAAATGAAGCATAAAAAGAGGGTTACATTATTAGGTGGGGGGAAATCTGACTACCCAAGAATTTAGAAGGAGAAACTATTGATAGTTTTTAAGGAGGGAAGAGATAATATTTTAGGAAAATATATGGCAGAACTCTGAAGAATGGATCATAGAACAGAGAAATCAGTTAAGTGTTTTAATACTATAAGCAAAGAATGAAAAAAAAATTAAAAAGAACCATTCAGAGGTAAAAATTACAGGACCTTCTAATAACTAGATGTGTAACAAATAAGGGAGATGGAACAGTCAAATATACTAAAATTCCTGTCCTGTTATTTTTAGTGCTGACATTTAGAGGAAATCTTTTCTAGTACTTTATCAAACCTCCACACCAATCAACAAATGGTTTTCAGGGAGTGTTATAGCAAGGTGATTGGAAATACTTTTTAACACAATTTGTGGTCACATACATTATTAGTAATTCTAAAAGCAAATACGCCATAAAGTACATATATAACATATTTCAAATTTAAAGAAACATCAATTTCAACTGGGTACTTTCAACTGAACAAACACTGTGTATACAAAGGCAAGTAAAAGTCTATCTAGAAATGATTTATGAACCTTCTACTTTCAGTTGACTAGAGAACTAATACTAGTGGCTAATATTAAATACAAATTTTATGTATGATATATACATTTTTAGGTAAAATTCCCAATTTACCATTTCCTATTTTGAATAATTCCCACAAAAACATTAGAATGTTAAAGTAGAATATAGTAGTTAAATAAAAACAGTGAATTCAAAATGGAAAGTAGTTGAAAACTTTAAATTCGTAAGCAAAATGGTTTTTCCTTAAACTTAGAAAAAATTTTTCTTCCTCCAACATAAATTGTTTTGTAAGAATATGTTGTTACCAAATACAACTGACCTTTATGAACTGCTCGTATAACTGTTTAATTGCGTTCAGTCTTTGGCTCTGAACAACTCTAGATTGTTGAAAAACCTTTTGTTGCTGTCGAAACAAATTCTACAAATGTAAAAGAAAACAATGTGATAACAGTTTGAGTATAATTTTAAATTTAGCACAAAAAAGCTTAAAGGTAATTTTAAAATCAATACTTTTAAAATTTTGTTTTAACAACTATTATAATAAAATTTAAACAATCTGTGTTCACCATAAATATACAGCAATATATAATCCTACCAGTCATTAACTAGGAAATCTTAACAATACTCAAAACATGTCCTAATTCTTAGTACTTTCAATATCAACACAGATGATCCTTCTGATAATGCTGGTCTTTCACCAGTGATTTTTAGCTACCACCCTACTTCAGCCATTCCTTTACATACTCATACCCTAAGTTTTGTCATTACCAATAACTATAACCTCTAGTATAAATAATAGCACACTACACTGAATGGCCTTAAATAAACTTACTATATATGAACTCATTTAATCCTCCAAGGCACGCTATGAGATAGGTAACCTTATCCCCCTCTCATAAATGAGGAAACTGAGATGTAAAGAATAACTTTCCCACAGTTCACAGCTAGCATTTGGTCAAACGAGAATGTGATTCCTAACAGTATGTTTCTAGAATCCAGTCTCTAACCATTATTCATACTGTATCTCCATATATCTCACTATTTAACCACTTCCTCTTTACTGTTCTAGCTCACTCACTTTAGTTATACAGCTCAATAATTTCTATCAAGACTTCTAATTTCTATCAAGGTACTAAAATGTACCCATACTACCTACTTTTCACTGCCCCCTATCCCTATTCCCATGTTCTCCCATTCCTCTTTCCCAGTGTAAATTCTATGGTCAATCATTTTAATTACTCCTTCGCATACATACCTTGTTCCCCTCTTACCCTGTCATAGTTGTTTGCCTAAACCCCAACCATGGAAAACACAACTCTTTAGCCACTCTGCCTGCATCCCTGCAGATGGTCATTACTGGAGAAAACCCCACAACTATGCTAACATGCCTCACCTTAAATCATAATCACTAGCCTAAATTGAACCCTTATTGCTGCTTGGCAATTAAATTTCCTCAGTCTGTTGACTGGCCCACTGTCAGGAAAATATTTTATACCTTTCATTTGATCTCAAAAGGCACAATATTTTCCACCCTCTGACGCCCCTAATGATTTCCCTAAAGAAACAGTAACAATCCAAAGAGCACTTTCAGTTTCTCATTCCCCTATCTACCCACTCACCTACATCTCTCTGTACTCAAATACTCTATCTTCTTTCCTGTTTTTAAGAAGGAACTTTTATCTTTGGTCCCTTGCTAAGGCCAACTTCTTCACATGTTCCACCCATTCTCAAGAATTCAGCAACTGTCTCCCCTCTTTCCATTCTTTTTTATTTTTCCCTGAGGATTATTCCTATCAACATACAAATATGCTGCTCTTTGTCCATTCTTTAAAAAGACAAAAAGCACTGTTCCTTTTCTACTCAGGCTACTATCCCATTTCTTTCCCATTCTTATACTCATATTTCAGTTGGGTTTTTGCACTTACTATTCCATCCAAATCACTCTGTTCAAGACTATCAGAACCATTCTGATCAACACCAATGACCTTCATCTTGCCAAATCTACCTTATTTGGCCTAAAAGCAGCATGTGAAAAAGTTAATCCTCTCTGCTTAAAAGGCTTACTTAATTTTGCTTAGACTGGTTTTCTTTCAATTAGGCCACTCATTCTCATCTTTAACTCTAAACATTAAGGTCTAAGGGCCCAGTTCTTAGACTTCTCTTTTACAATTACAATCACTCTCTTGGTGGTTTCATACAACTTTGTATGTTTCTTATTTTTTTTCTGAAATTGAGACTCATGCCAATGGCTTACTCAATGTTTCCCCTTGTTATATAAATTTAATATTTCCATAACTGGGCTGGTCAACCAACACTTAAAATTATTTGCTAGGAATGGCAGCTTAGCTCTTAGATGTGTGATCATTTCCCAGTGTTAAGTATGGAATAAAAGGATAATGTAATTATATAATATATATATATGTGGCACTGACTTTCATCTCCCATTAAATAGGTAGCACAAGAGTAAATCATGTTCTGACCATAATGATTGATTCAATAATGGGCAAACAATCCAAATTGATCAGTGATTTTCCTTCAGAGGACTTTTCTGCTACAGTTACTGCTAGAGTTACTTTTCTGCTAGAGTCCACTGGGGTTACTGAACTTGTCTGGGAGTGCAAGAAGCTATCTTGCTTACCACACTGATATAGCCTAAGAACTGGAGACAGCCAAGATGATACCACATGAGCAATTGTTCCCCAACTCACCCAGCTATGCCTGAAGCTAAACTAATCCTGGTCTTCTTTCATGTAAATGAATAATCCTTTTGTATTTTGGCAAATTTCTGTCATTTGGAACTAAGAATCCCAATCAATACAGGAGGCAAACACCATCAGCTTTTATGAATATGGTTTGTGCCTATACGTCTCTAATTTACCATTCAGCAGGACCAAAACATATAGCCAGCAATGGGTAGTGAAACCCAAGTTCTGTGGGTCCCCTACAAGGCTAGGCTTTCCATTCCTACTTGACGCTTGGTTAAATAGATTAATTATAAAGCTAAGCATGATACATACAGTTAGTTTTTCTTCTTGTTCCTCAGCTTTCTGCACATCTATCTCCCACTGCTGAAACAAAGCCAGAAACTGCTGAGAAAATTCTTGATTAAGCTTCTGTCTGTAAAACATAACAAATATTGTCATATTTCATATCAATATGGGAAAAACATTCAAAACAAAATTGACTTTACATTAATTATGCTGTAATAAAAGGAAATAAATGCACTCTAAAATTTCAGATATGAAACTAGAAGTAAAATTTTGATTCCAGACATACTTATTCTCCTAAACCTATCAGAAAAGCCTTCTCATATACTTTAGCTCTTGAAAAGGAAGGAAATTTTGTTGTATATATAAATTTTCCAGAAAACTCCATTTTACTGCCAAGCAGTTTTTCATTTTCTCCTACTGTACATGGGTTTATGATAAATTCAATGAAGCCATTATATTTATCATATAAGATATTTCCAAGCAGACATTCTACTTAGTTTTTGCCCATTTTGATACAAAAATGGCTTTATGAAAAAGAACAGAGTTACTACGGCTTAAATATACAAATCATTTACAATATTAAGACTGATACTTTTCCACACTGTTTAACAGCTGATATTTACTTTTTATTCAGCTAGTGTATTTCTATAACAAAGACAAATTATCTTTAGAGAAAAACTTCTTAACTTTTACTTAAAAGGGGATTAAAAATAATCTCTATTGATTCCTAGGAAATATATTTCAAGTCTATGAAGGAGTGAGTGTACAGGACTAAAAGACTTAGAGAAAAATTAAGCTAAATATTCTTTTTACTGGAGACTCCAATAAACAGACAACAGTATTTTTCATAATTTGCACTAATGAATAATATTAAATGATAAAAATGTGGTTGTGAAAGAACGAATAATCATACCTTAGATCTTGTTGGATTTTCCAAATATGTTCAATTTTCTGGTTACTGGTTTTGAGGGAAGCCTTGGTATACATTGCTAGTCTTTTTTTCTTTGCAAGAAGAGAATTGCTAATGTCAGCTATATGGAAAGTAAAATATTCATTAAAATGCAATATTGAAGAAAATTACATATTTTATGCCCACATATTGAAATAAATATGGGTAAAGTTGGTTTAACAGTTTCAGAAAGACACTTAAAATTAAATTTAAAATAGGCGTATGAAAAGCAAGGTTGTTTTTTTCTAAGAAAACTTTTAGTTACTCTTATCCCAGTTCTGATTTTCCTAGCCAGAGATTTTTTTAAATTTATAGGTGATTAAAAAGAGCCAATAAAAGGAAAAAAGGGTCTCAAGATGGGCTTTAATTTCCTCATGAGAAAACACAAAGGCTACATTTTTCTAAATTTATAAAATACTCCCCAACTGAAACAACCCATTTAGATGAATTACTGTTAGAATGCAGTATATGAAACACACAAAAGTATTTTTTAAATCCAAAAAGGAAAAAAATAGTTATAAGAAAATTATTTTTTAAAAATATAGTCAGTGATAATTTTAAGCATATAATTTTCTAAATGAGATAAAAACCAAGCATAGAAAAATCTTAAGGAAATATCTAGATAAATTCATTCTAGAACCTATTTTGAATACTTTCATGGAGATTTTTATGGCAGATTTTTATCTCAAGTACTATATTTCATGAAGTTTTAATACTTTAAGTAATGCTTTGCTAAACATGTGCATGTGACTCTACCAGCAATAGTTATTCTTTGGTAATCATTATGGAGCTGCATTATTATATAAATATTTTATATATCCAATATCCATCAATAAAAATATATATAAAATTACAAAACAATCATTTTGCCACTACCAAATAGAGCAAAGCTTTCATAAAAGACTTGACTGTGTGATGAATGCACCATATAGAGAAGCCAAATACTGACTCTTTTTTGAGTATTCTATCCCCTACCACAGTTCATGTAATTGACATTTGACACACTAGTTAAAGTTTATGAATTTCTTATCTGATTATACATTTTTTACTATCTAGCAAGGCTGTTTTTAATTCTCAACTAAATAGTTTAATGTAAAAATAACAATAGTTATTTTAAAGGCTTCAATTTACACTGAAAAGAACTGCTACAGAATTTACACTGCTACAGAAAAGAGCAAAGGAATGTCATACAAAATAACTAAATTGAGAAAAAAGAAAACTGACATATATACAGATATGTGTTTGTAGTCTGTAGAAAAGTCTGCAAAAGTCCATTCAAAGTATACGCTTTTCCCATCCATTTTGTCCTAAAATTTTAGTCCATTAAATTCACACATGTATAAAATAAAAGCACCATTCTAGTACTACTCACCATTGTTAGTACCGTTTGCACTCTTCACATTAACTGGAAAAGGTTAAGTAAGGAAATCTATGAAGCTAAATTACATAGTATACTTATGCAAAATTGTATATATAAGAACAAGGCATTAAATGAGTCTTGAATACACTGATTATTGTACAAGTTATTTGGCTTAAAACAATCTTTAAATACAAATATCTCTTAAAACATACCTCCTATTTTTTCCAGCATATTCTGTACTTCATCTCTGTGAACAAAGTACATTTAAAAACTTTTCATTAAAGAGCCATAAAATATCATGCTTGTTTTGGAAGAAATATCCCACACCCAGCATTTTACATATAACACTCATTGGACAACCAAAGTACTTTCTTAAAGTACTTTATCTAACAGGCAAAAATTATTTTGAGTATATTACCCCATATCTTCAAGTATTCCTGCAGAAGTCCTTTTCTTCCCAAGTTTATCAACTGCTAGAGTCTTTGCTGTATCAACAATAAAAAATAAAAATATTTTTGAAATTAAGTATGCTACTTTGGTAATTTTATTGAATATCTTAATTTTGAGGTCATTTAGGCTTTTTGGCACATGAGTTTTTAAAGCAGATACATAAATACTGTGCTTTCTCTGCAAATCAGGTGGAATTAAATCAAGATCCAGGACCATTTTATAGGAACAATTTTGCAAGTTTTCCTGTGTTAATGTTCATAGTAAGCCATGTGCTATTCATTTTGGGAATAATGACTGAAAACGCAAGAGATGTTATATAAGCTACTCTAACTCCAAATGAGAAACATGAACTATGTTAAAATGCTTGACAAAGTTTTACTATCATTTAAAATGCAGGAGGTTCAAAATAAATGAACTGCCAGACATGGTCACTGCACAACAATATTAGATATACTGTACCGTGAGAAACATTCTCCTCTGAACCACTCAGATCTTTTCTATCTTCTTTCTCAAAGTCAAAAGCTCTTACAATCTGATCCTCCATCGATGTCTTCCCAGATTTCCCAGTATGTTTCCTTCCAGAGGGCAACATACTTAGAAGTTTCCTGACTTTTAAAAAATAAATCTTTCAAACCTTCTGAATCCAAAGATATCATTTAAATAAATCGGTAAACCTCAAAATTTAGAAACACCAAAGATTATCTTAGTCGAACATTTAGGAATCTCCTCATTTATTTTGATGGTCCAAAAGGTAAGGCAATGAGAGCATCAACCCTTCTTGCAGGTGTGCTGCTACGGAGAGTTCAGAGAAGACTGGGAGAACGGAATTTGATTCCAGCCTCTGCCAGAGTCGGGCTAAATTTGGGCAAATACAGTTTTTGCGTATCAGTCACAAAGTGAAATCATGGTTGACAGGATCGACCGTGAGGGTGCCTGTCACACCCAGCTCAGCCCACAGCTTTCCGCCCGCCACTTCACCGCGGGGCCCTCGGCCGGGCACCACCACCCAGCCCCCTCCCCGTCCCTGGTTGCCCCCTCACACCCTCGGACCTGATCTAAGCCTCAACCCCGTCTACCCCTGGGCCCACAAGCCCTAGTGGCCCTCTCACTGCCTCGGCCCTGTGCGCCCGCTCAGCCTGGGACCCGCCCACTCCACCCGTCCTGGTCCTGGTACCCCCACCCGTCGGCCCAAGTCGTCCCTTCACTCGATCTGCTTCTGGGCCTCCAGCCCTGGGACCCCGCTTCCCACTCCAGGTCCCTCACCCCAATCGCCCCCTAGGTGCCCCCTAGGTGCCCTCTAGGTCCCGGGACCCGTCACCCGTCCAAGGTCCCTCTGCCCCGGTCACCCCGCCGGCCCCGGGAACCCTCTACCGCTCCGCTTCTCTCGACCCTGGTGATTTCCTCGCCCTAGTCTCCCCTGTGGCCCCTCAGCCCCAGCTGTCGCCTCGTCCCCTCGGCCGTTCAAGGCACCTCGGCCCCGGTCGCCCCCGGGGCCCCTCTTCCCGCTCAAAATCCCTCGACCCCAATCGCCCCCTCGACCCGGTGGCCTCCTTAGCACCTCAGCCCTGCTCCCCCGTCGCCCCCTCAGCCTCGGGACCCGTGGCTCGTTCAAGTTCCCTCAGCTTCGGCCACCCGTCGGCCCCGGGAGCCCTCTACCCGCTCAGAGTCCCTCACCCTCGGTCGTCTCCTCGCCCTCCCCGCCCCGCCCCGCCGCCCCTTCAGCCCAGGTCATCTCCTCACCCCCCGGCTGACCCATCGCCCCTTCAGGGTACCTCGGCCCCGGCAGCCTCCTTGCCCGCGGTCAGCCCGTCGGTCCTGGGGCCACTCTTCCCACTCCAGTGACCTCAGCCCCCGTCGTCCCATCGCTCTCGGTCGCCCCCTCGCACGCTCAAGGTCCCTCAGCCCCGGGGCCCCTCTTCCCGCTCAAAGTCCCTCGGCCCCGATCATCCCGTCGACCCAGTCGCCTCCTTAGCCCCTCAGCCCCGGTCGCCCCCGTCGGCCCCGGCCCCCTCTTCGGCCTCTCGCCCGTTCAAGTTCCCTCGGCCCCGGTCGCCCCCTTGGCCCTTCAGCCTCAGTGGCCTCCTCTTCTCCGGTCGCCGCATCAGCCCGGGGGCTCCTCTTTCCGGTCAAAGTCCCTCGGCCCCGTCGCCTCTTTGACCCCTCATTCGCCGTAGCCCCCTCAGCCCTAGTGGCCCCTGGGCACCAGTCGCCCCCTAGGTCTCCGCCGCCACCTACGCCGCCTCTTAGCTCTCTTGCCCCCCGCGGCGAGCTCAGGGCCCTGCCCTAATTTTCCTGTCAGAGGCCCCAGGTGGAGCCAACTAGAAAGATTTACCACACAGATCAAGAGTAACCTCCGACTCGACTCCCACCCGGGACAAACTCCTACCCTTCTCACACCTGAAAAAAACCCCAACGGCTAAGGACCACAACTACAGGTCTCCGCCCGGTGACCCCGAACTCTCCACAACCCTAGCTCCTCACCAAAGGTCTCTCGCTTCGGAGGCACGACGCTCCTCTGAAATAGCTCCGAATTCGCGCGAGAAAAGCCAGTCTCGCCTCGTCCAGAAGCGTCGCTGATTGGCTGGTCGCGGTGAGCACGTGTGAAGTGGGTCGTAGGGCTCCGCCCCATGGGTGGGCGGAGACCGCTGACTCAGAGCACCTTGCGCACTGCGGCCTATGGGTAATGTACTTGAGGCCTGTTGCCTTCCAGTTTCTTTCTTTTTAATTTAAATTTTAAAATGTTATAATATTTGAAAGTTGCAAAAGCACATGTAAGTTATAAAATATGATAAATACGCTACCTAATTTGTGAAGTAAAATTTTACCGAAATCCAATGACTCTTCTCGGGAAGTCCTTTCCAACACATTCTCCCATTTTCCACTCAGAGATATTTGAAAAAATTATCCTGAGTTTTGTGTAAATACTCACTCCTCCCACTTTCTAAGTTTTGTTACCACACATATGTGTCCTTAAACAACCCTGCCTAGTTTTGTTTGTGTTTGGGCCGTACAGAAGATTCTACCATGTTCAATGTAGTATCCTGCCACTCACATTTTTGCTTAACATTATGTTACTGAAAATCTATATTATTACATGTAGCTATAGTTCTTTCCTTTTTCACCACTGTATATGTAATTGTGACTCAACTCCAAAATTTACTCATTGATTTTCTTGTCCGAGGACAGGTGGGTTATTTTAAGATTGCAGCCTGTATAAACAATGCTATTATAAATGTCCTAATCTCCTGCATATATGCTAAAGTTTTTACAGACTATCCAGGTGTGAAGTTGCTAGGTCATAGGTTAGATGATACTCAGTAATGCCAAGTTGGTTTCCAATTTATACTCCCATCAACATAGGGTGTCCCAATTGTTCAATATACTCATCATCACTTGGTATAATTAGATTTCTTAGTTTTGTCATTCTAGTAGGTGCAAAATATCTTTGGGATATTCTTTTTATATTTCTCTAGTCACTCATAAGTTTAAGATCTTGTTATGCTTATTAGACATTTTTATTTTCTTTTCACTAAAATATCGATTTTTGGTTTTTGCTCATTTTTCCATTGAGTTGCATGTATCTCATTGATTTGTAGGTCTTTATATATGTTGGATGTTAACCTTTATGACTTCTGTATCCTTATCTTGAAGTCATAAAAGTATAAAGGTTTTTTCATTTTTAAGTATTTGTTCATTTAGAATTAATTTTTGTGCATGGTGTGAGGAAGGATTTAATTATTTTTTTCCTATGTGGAAACCAATTTATTGAGTAGTGCATGGTTTCCTTATAATGTGTGTCATATGTCAAGTTTCTCTATGTTTTTGAGTCTGCTTCTCTAGCCTATTCCACTGATCAGTTAGCTTATCCCTGTCCCCAAACCAGTTTTCATTGACTAGTAAGGAAGTCTCACACCTTATTTTTCATTCAGGAGTAGCCTGTGCATTCTTGAACCTTTGCTTTTCAAGTAAAATGCAGAATCAGTTTTCCAAGTTCAATGAAAAAAAAATGCTAGATTTTTATTGGAATTACCCTGAATCTATAAACCAATTTGGAGAGAACTGAGTTTTCCTATTCTTGAATGTAGTGCATTTTCCATTTATTTAAACATTAATATCATTCAAAAGTTATTTTTTTCTGTGTACAGGGCTTGGGTTTTTATTAAATTTATTTATAAATACATTTTACTGCTATTTTGTATACTGCTGTTGATGCTAGTATATAAAAATCCAGTTGATTTCTAATATGGATCTTATTCTTATATCCAGCAACTTGCTAAAAACTTTAATTACTTTTAATAATTTGTCTGTTGAGTCACTGGTATACTATTTCCTCAATATCAAACATATGCATGCCTACCAGTGCCTACATTTAACAACAAAGAAAATATAGGTTTTAATCATAAACATTATAATTAATGTTAACAAATGTGAATTTTTTAAGGAAAATATAACAGTTCTTTCATATATAAGACTTACTTAGACTATACAAAATGTCACAGGCATTCTGAGTCTTTAAGGAAACATTTCTCAAAAAGGATCTAAGAAATCAACAACTATGTAATCAAAAGAAAAACTGTTTGTGTAGACGGGTTTAAGACCCTGTGGAAGTCAGTGCTGTCAAAGTCTTGAGGCTAATCTCTCACATGTTGTCCCACCTACTTTTTCCTATAATTGGGAAATGATATTGATTATATTAAACATATAGTGAGGTGACCCTTTGCACATCAAACTTTTGTTTCTTCTCAACTTCCAAATACTCCTTTAACCAGGGGGCTCTTACTCTCCAAGTCCCCATAGGAGAGCTTAATAGCAGCTTCCCTCACACTCTCTCTTACTTGCCTCCTCACTCTACCTCTTCTTCATGTTTCCCTTTGTCCTATTGCCCTAGACTTTCCCCTTGGGGTCACCCTATCACTTTCTTCTGTAAGCAACATAGTCTCATGATTCTGTTGGATACTCCCTGTAGTTTTACTCACCTTAGAATTTTTGAAGAATCAAAGCATAATTTGGAAAGTTAATCTTCTAGGCAGATGTCCCAAGCAGTCTTTTATTTTTTTCTCTTTGGCTTTTAAAAAATTTTTAATTAAATATTTTATTGTTCTATTACAGCTGTCCCAATCTTTCTCCCTTTCTCTCTTTCGCTCAGCCCATCCCCCACTTCCACAGTCGATCTCCACCCTGTTGTTCATGACTGTGTCATTCACATATGTTCCTGGACTAGACCCTTCCCCTACTTTCCACCCTTATCGCCCTTCCCCCTCCACTCTTGTCATTGTCAGTCTGTTCCTTGTTTCCATGCCTCTGGTTCTATTTTACTCATTTGTTTGTTTTATTCATCAGGTTCCTCATAAAGGTGAGATCATGATGAATTTGTCTTTCACTGCCTGGCTTCACTTAGTATAATATTCTCCAGTTTCATCCATGCTGCTGGGAAGGGTAGGAGCTCCTTCTTTCTTTCTGCTGTATGCTATTCCATTGTGTAAATGTACCACAGTTTTTTAATCCACTCATTTACTGATGGGCACTTAGGCTGTTTCCAACACTTGGCTATTATAAATAACACATCTATGAACATAGAGGTGCATTGGTTCT